TTATAGACATGGGAAGGGCGGTATATAGTTAAGGATATATCGGGCAATGCTGGTAATGCTGACGGGAATAATCATATTGTCTGTCTCCTCTCAGATGTATGGATGCTCTCCGGTTCTGGGTGGTGAGTCGTGAGCGGCAGCCACGTCGAAAGCAATTGCAACTGGTTCAACTGGTAGTTGTGTGTTTGACAATGAATCTTCCAAAGAGAAGTTTCCTTTTGAGCTCCAGATTGGCTTTTGCTTCGATGATGCCGATATATTTTCTTTTTTCCCTTCTTTTTGCCCCTCTTCTTCATCTCGGTGTTCAACCCTCACCCCCTGTCGCCTGCTTCTCCTCGACATGGGCTGGCTAGTCAGGACGAATAACTAAGAGTCGAGCGGGTCGTCTTACTCCTCAAACCCCCGGTCGGAGGCACAGACGTGGATTAGGGATCAGAGTTTTTTTTTTTTTTTTGACCCCCTTCTCATTTATCTACCTCTTATGCAGTACTCCGTGTGCAGTTGATGATTTAATTGGTGAGGGGATTTGTTTATTTTGCTCTTTGGTTCTCCGCCGCAGTGCAATAGCTTGGTCTACTGGTACGTAAAGACGGAGGTTTTTTGCATAGTTATTAGTTAGTTAACCACTTACTTGAAATAATATCAGTGAATCAGAGTGAGCACAAACATCCTCCGAGTTCTGCAGCTGCAGCATCTACAACATCTGCAGCATCTGCAACATCTGCCACATTGTATTCTCCTGCAGGTGTCCTGCAAAGTGACTGGCGTAGTTTAAAGTTCGCTCATACGTTTTCTTTTCTTCGATGCATTTTCTGGCCAGGAACCCAGTCTGAACAAGTGACAACAAGGTTCCACTCCTCAAGGTTAATTTGAATGGGCCCATTTTGTAACCCAACTAGCTCACTTGTCAGCAGCCGATTGCCAGCCAAACGGAACCCTGCCCACCGTATCGTCCAAATAGTCCGCGGTCCTGGAATTCGGGAGACACCACAGGAATTTCTACACAACGAGGCTTTTTTGTCTCTGTGCTAGTTATTTTACCGTACAACCGCAGCTAACCCTTCCCCCCCCCCCAAAAAAAAAAAAAAAAGAAAAGAAAAGAAAAGAAAAGACAAGAAGGGGAAAAAAAAAAAAAAAAAAAAAAAAAAAAAAAAAAAGAATCCAGAACCAGAATTCCCACTCCAGCAACCTGGCAGAACGTGGATGAGATGCTCTAGTGAAGGTTCTTTGCGCCATCAGCAGCTAAATAACTAATTCCTGAACTAACTTGCGGAGAATCTCCAACACGGTTGATTATTCCTCCAACTACATACCCAAGGTTCTGCTGTCTGGCATGCCGCAATCACTGACAAACGACAAGCTACAGCAAGCCACAGCCCAAGCATCCAGTATCCAACCAACCAGCTCTGGCTAGCAGCTCATGTTCACCACTTCTCTATGGGCCTCATGCCGGCACATAGTATCATTCCCAGAAAAAACCCTTGTCCGACAGAAACACCCCCGGCGTGGCTTCTGCTGGGTTTTTTTTTTTTTTTTTTTTTTTTTTTTGGTGGGGGGGAGAAGAACGGCGGAAACGTGTATCCTCCGTACGGTTCATGGTATATGCCTGAGAAAGGGCAGTGAAAGAGAAAAAGCGAGGAGAGATGCACAGTTTCTCTCCGCCGCAATATCAAGTGAGAGACTAACTTTACGCTCAATGTTGATTGAGATCGCCACCCTTGGATCAGGCGTTGGGATCTGGCATCTGAATGAACTCTACTAAGATACGGTGATTATCATTCCTGATATCATACACTAACAAACCCCCTACAGCATCTAAGGAGTCTAACCTGCAAACCAATCAACCTAATTAATCCGGTTAATTCACGTTAATTACGTTAATTTATCTCCAGACTCCACTTTTATCTTCTGGTTTTCACGGAGTCAAAAGTACAGTCTTCCTCTGCCCACTTGCGGGTGTGCACTAATTGCTCCTCTGGCTAGACAGCGCCGTCAAAAAAGAACATTCCTTGTCCGATTATTATATTCCATACCGGTCCAAAATTACTCCCAGGCCGTTGCTCGCCACCTTTTGCCCATCCCTCGCCCTGTCCAGTGTCCAAGGAGATCAGGGCCCTATCTAGGAACGCCCAATATCAATCCCCCAGCCGGCGAAACCAAGCGCAATCAACCCCAACCCCCTCCCCTCCCGTCCGTCCCCCCTCTACCTCCCCGGCCCCGTCTCTCTTCTGCTTACTCTTGTCTCGCTTCGATCTCTCGTCTCTTCTCTCACTCCTCTTGCCGCTACTGCGACTATTACGACTACTGTTTCTCATTATTATTCTTTACTCTTTTAGGCTTCAACTGTCTCTGCTCTACTCCGCTCATCTCTCTCTCCTCCTGCTCTTCTTCTTACAAACCTAGCCTCTTCTCACCGTGGCTCCCGGTCTGATGTGGAAGCATCGATCGTCGTCCAGGTTTGATTCCGCCAACAAGGACAATTCTTCTTCTCACTCTCAGTATCAATCTCAATCTCATCATCTGTCGTCGCCGCTCCTGGGGCTTTTTGGTCGCTCAAGGAGGTCGCGGTTAGGTGGGCCTTTCTTTTCTTTTCTTTTCTTTTCTTTTTTCCTTTCCTTCTTTTTCTGGCTAGTTCTTTTGCTTTGCACTGCGCTGTATTGTTTTCTACTCTCCTTATTCTGTGCCTCTTATATCTCCAGATCGGTCCTGTCTGGCATTGACGTTGGTATTGATTCGGATTTGGATTGGATTGGCATCGGCCTATTGCTGTTCTCTGTGCCGCGCATGACATTTGCAATATGCATCTTCCCGTTAGCTGACACCTTCGCCAACCATATTGTGTTTATCTCTGCCTCTACTTTCTCCCTTGAAACTTCCTGTTTGCGTCTGTTTCAATCAAGTCAATCAAACCATTCTCTCATTCATTATTCCCTCCCGCTTTCAATCCCCTATAATCCCTCCACATAATTTCCGCAATTGACCCCCAAAACCTTAAAAACATTAAGCCCCCCCAAACTATCCAAGCCGAATCAAACCAAACCAAATACTTAACATCAATATACAGATCTCCCCTCGCAAACGAATAGACAATACCTCCGCCCAGACCCCTCCCAATTAACCATTACCCCAAATCGCCCCTCCCGCCTCGCCCATCCCTACGCCTCCAACAACCGCGAAGTCACTCCATTAGAAGAAGAACAATCCCATTCCTCCCTTCACCCATCTCATTCAAACCCAAATCTCCGCTCCACAACCTCCTCTAGACTGGTCTACCACTCCCACCTTCTCGCCCCGGACTACGCAGCCCACTCCAACCGCTCGCTGTCATCCTTCAATTCGCGCTCCGGCTCCGGCTCAGTCTCCGGTTCCGGTTCCGGCGGCAGGTCGATGACGGCGGTCGCGGGTGCGGGTATGATGATGGACGTCGAACGGACGAGGGGGCCACGGAGGGAGAGAACATTCGTTGGCAGCGAGTGCGCTGTCTGTGAAGAACCGCTTGAACATACGCTTAGGGGGGAGCGGGTGTTGCAGTTGTCGTGCGGGCATGTATCGCATGAAGCTTGTTTTTATGAGTTTATTAAAGAGTTTGAGGCACAGTGTTGTCCGACGTGTAGTGCGCCGCTGGGATTGGATAGCAGTCGTGGTGGTAATGTGCTTGATTTAGGTATACATAATCACACATTTCATATATTACACGAATTGAAAACACGGACCCCCCCCCCCCCCCCTTCCTTCTTTCTGTTTAAACATCAACCATAGAACTATAGTAAAGGCATGTTGGTCCATTCCCATTTGTAGTACTAGAGACACATTTCAAAGATATTTCCCTGCTCGCCGCCAGCCAGTTGTGGAGTAATGAACAATAACGGAAAAAAGAGTAATCGACACAAAGACTAATATCACCAATAGAGGATAGATGGTACTCCGTAGAAGAAGAGGGGGCACAACAATAGAAAATTTACCTAG